CAAAAAAAAGAGAATGCACGACTGTTTCGAATCGGAAAGCGTCGACATTCAATTGAAAGACATCTTTTGGGATGCACTGTGTAAAATTGTTACCGATCAAATGCTTAACGTTCGCAACCACCCTTAAACCTCTCTTATAATACATTACAAAAAAACCGTTACCTTTGTACCTAAATAATATCATAATATCGACTTAAATCGTTTATTTTTTTATTTGCTTTAAACCATTCTTTCAGGAACAAACACTCTTTTTAATCCCTTGTTATTTAATATACTATTATTTGCGACATTTTCAACTAAGGACCAATAGATATATGTACACAACAAATTTCGTGAAATTCTCTCTGTTATTACCATAATATGTTCGACTCCATCTCTACCATCAGGAACCATTTTTTCCACCACACCAAATTCAATGGTCCGGTGTTGTCGATTCCGATTAGAACTGTATCACCAATCATCAAGGAGCGGGAGTTACTCTTCAAATGAGAAGCTCGAAGAAAATTCAATAAATTACGAAACATTTTCTCAGGTCCTTCCGAAGCGCTGGAAGGTATAATCCTGGTTTCTTTCACTTCGAACTTGCTGTGTTTTCGCCCCACAGCTTGGTGAGGAAGATGTCGTTTAATCCTCAGCTCCTTCCAAAATGCCAGTCAGTCTCCAATTTTTCAAAACTGAATCGTATTCTGCGTATAATTCGGGAGTCATCCTACTGGATAAACTTCATAGCCTTCTTTTAGCCAGAGCTCGTTTCGGCGGAGGACGAACTTCATTTTTCCAAGGCAACGAAACAGTGCAGCGTTTATTCTCGTGAAATTTTTTCAGGGTCGCTTCTTTTTTGTCACAGTGTATTGCATCATCTTTGACACCAAGAAGTTCGAACTCCCAGAAGCTGGTTGCAAGATCGTTTATTTCTTCTACGTGATTGATAGCAACTCACATTGAGAGGGCCCTGAGAGCAGAGTATGTTCCTAACACGGTCCAACCGAATAAAGTTTCTAACGCAGTGAGTCGCCCAGGAAATTGAAAATCGTTTTTTTTATCAAAAATTATAGCGCCTTTTGTGGGTTTTTTTTCATTACAATACGGTTTTCACTTATAGCTTTTCACGTGCCGAAGCGATCTTAAGGAATATCGGCAATTCTTTTAGATTTTGACCCATAGCATCCAAAACGCCCAGAAAAATTTTTTTTTTTTTAATTTAAAATTAATGTGTCTCAACATCAAAGGTCATTGACACAGGAACAATCACATTTCTAAACTTAACTTAAGAGCTATTCGCTAAATTTTGTCATATATATCGATACTTTGGAGGAACTTGGTCACATGGTGGAGTTGGTCGGTAGACTTTAGAATTTCATTTAAGCTGTTCTTCAGTGTGTGGAAGCGTCGAGTATTTGCATGATGTTCGTAATCGATAAGGATGTGTTTTATAGTCAGTGGATTGTTGCAGTGTTTACAGACGGGTGGATCGGAGGTTAAGAGATGCATGTGAGTCAATCTTGTGTGTCCGATTCGCAGTCTTCGGATGATAATTTTACTTTTCCTGGACATGGGGGCAGCTTTAAATGGCTTTACTGTTGGATTGATCTCGTGAAGTTTTGAGTGAATTTAAAATCGTACTCTTCTAGCAAAAATTATAGCGCCGTTTGTGTATTTTTTTCATTATAATACGGTTTTTCACCTACAACTGTTCATATGCCGAAGCGATCTTAACGTATATTCGCAATTCTTTTAGATTGTGACTTGTAGAATTAAAAATCGTACTCTTCTATCAAAAATTATAGCACTTTTGTGGGTTTCTTTTTCATTATAATTCGATTTTTCACCTACAACTTTTAACGTGCCGAAGCGATCTTAACGTATATCCGCAATTTTTTTTGATTTTGACTGGTAGAAGCCAAAACTACCAGAAAATTAAAAATCGTACTCTACTATCAACAATTATACCACTTTTGTGAGTTTATTTTTAATTACAATTCGATTTTTCACCTACAACTTTTCACGTACCGAAGCGATCTTAACGTATATCCTCAATTCGTTTAGATTTTGACCTGTAGTATCCAAAACTCCCAGAAAATTAAAATCGTACTCTCCTGTCAACAATTATACCACTTTTGTGAGTTGATTTTTCATTATAATTCGATTTTTCCCTTCAACTTTTCACGTGCCGAAGCGATCTTAACGTGTATCCTCAATTCTTTTAGATTTTGACCTCTAGAATCCAGAACTCCCAGAAGATTAAAAATCGTACTCTTCTATCAACAATTATGCCACTTTTGTGAGTTTATTTTTCATTATAATTCGATTTTTCTCCTACAACTTTTCACGTGCCGAAGCGATCTTAACGTACATCCGCAATTCTTTTAGATTTTGACATGTAGAATCCAAAATTCCCAGAAAATTAAAAATCGTACTCTTCTATCAACAATTATGCCACTTTTTTGAGTTTATTTTTCATTAAAATTCGATTTTTCCCTTCAACTTTTCACGTGCCGAAGCGATCTTAACGTATATCCTCAATTCTTTTAGATTTTGACCTGTAGAATCCAAAACTCCCAGAAAATTAAAAATCGTACTCTCCTATCAACAATTATACCACTTTTGTGAGTTTATTTTTCATTATAATTGCACAAGAGGTTTGTATTTTCGCGAGTAAATTTGGGTTGTTTAGGTAATGAAAATCTGTTGCCTAGCAATTAGACGAGAAAAACTGTCAACTAATAAAAATGCGACACCGCAGGTGGAGCATTTTTAGGTTGACAGTTTTTCGAGTTCAATTGCTAAAAAGGAAACAGATTTGAATTGCAACAACCAAAATTTACTCGGTTTAAATACAACCCTCGAGTGTAATTCGGCAGGACAATTTAACGAACAAGAAATTCACCAAACTAATCAATTATTGACAGACGTCAAACTAGCCATATGGGAAAGGATAATGCGATAATTTGTTCGAAAATGAATAAGTGAAAAAACCACTAGTGCATTTGTCGTTGGAAAAGTTGCAGGTAACATTTGCCGTTGTCAAAGTGACAATTTCACTGCGGCTTATGCGATTTTTTATACATGAGTTGAATTGTCGGTAGTAAAAATGGCATTTCAGATCGCCCAATTTGCGACGGGTCTAGGACATTTCGCCGAATGCCCACAACGCCGACACGATTTTTTGATGGTCCATATCGCCGACGGACACTACGCCGACCGTGCCCACATCGCCGAAACGTGTGCAAGGGACACTAAGCCGAATACGCCGACTATTCGAAATACCAGGCCCCTCATACTTTGTCCAGTTTCATTAAGAATTTTTGTATGATTTTTTAGTTCGAAAAAAGTTTAAAAAAATATTCTAAACCTACAATAACCTAACGTTAAAAGCTGCTTGGTGTTGCACACCGTCCAGCTTCATTATGAACTGTTGTATGAGTCGACGTTATGGTCACGTTCGGCTCAGTGTCCCTTGTACACTTGTCGACGATGCGGGCACGGTCGGCGTAGTGTCCATAGTCGGCGATATGGACCATAAACCCCATACCCCTTTGCGACATATCACCCAATCTGGTAACACCGTCGGTAGGCCAGCGAGAATAGCACAGGTACAGAAATAACTATTTCACGTTTCCATAGATAACAGAGAGCGATGCAAGCTTTATAGGAAAGTCGATGGTGTCCTTCTGTCCGTCCGTGAACACGATAACTGTCAAACGCGTGGACCGATTTGGTTCAAACTTTGAACAGTTGACCTATATGCCACATGTAGTAAGCCTATTGAAAATGGGTCAAATCCAATGACCCCGTGGGGTCACGACCTTTCTATCTCTGGCAAACGCTTGAACCTGTTCGGTTCAAACTTTGCACAGTTAACATACCACATGTAACAAGCCAATTGAAAATGGATCAAATTCAATGACCCCGTAGGGTCAGATCGAGGTGCTCTGCCGCTTTTTTAGATGCTCTTTAGGGGTTTATTCTTTTATTTCCTGGTAAATCTCTGAGGCTGAGGCCGGAGATTTGTCAACCAAATGGTGCGTTCCGTAGGACCATGCTCTACCCGTTTTCGTAAAAACGAGAATAAGCAGGTATAGACCGAAAATGATCCCACGTTAACATCCAACTAATGTCACGAAACCTACGATACCACTATTTATCGTGAACAGTTGCCGTTTGTACCCGGGGCAGCGCAAAAATCGAGCGCTCTGAAAAAATGGGGAATTTGCTTCTTTTCACCTTCTGCTTTTTTTTCGATTATTTCTGATGACTTCTTGCAGTTCGATTCTAAATAATTTTGTGCCCCTTGGGCCCTTGGATTCTTGCGCCCGTGGCAAATGCCACCTTCGCCACGCCCTAGTTAAGGCCATTGTTTAAATACTTTTTAAAGAATGACTGACACTACTTTTGCCGTCTCTTCTTTACATTTAACGGCCCACGACGCTGTTTCCAAATCGACGGATCAGAGTTCATTTTTCTATTTTACACCGTAGCCGACCCTTGAATATTTATATTTGTTGAAATAATGTAATTTTTCGTGTTGCTTTGTTAACATGTTGTGTTCGCGCGTTTTTGTAGTTATGTCAGATTTTCTTTACAAATAAAGTTTATAATAAATGTATACCTACGCATCAACACTGAATACCTATAATTACTTATTGAATGGTATCAATTAATAAACCCATAAAGATCGTCTAAAAAAGCGGCAGAGCACCTATCGGTGTGACCCCACGTACGGAGTGTTTGGATTTGACCCATTTTCAATTGGCTTGTTACATGTGGTATATTATGTTAACTGTGCAAAGTTTCAACCGAATAGGTTCAGCGTTTGGCAGGGACAGAGAAGCGTGACCCCACGGGGTCATTTGATTTGACCCATTTTCAATAAGCTTATTACATGCGGCATATAGGTCAACTGTGCAACTAAATCGGTCCCAGCGTTTGGCAGTTATAGTGTTCATGGACAGATGGGCAGATGGACACCATCGACTCCCCTATAAAGCTTGCATATATAGCTTTGCTCTGGCGCTTAATATCTACCTAACAGATCTCAACAATATTCAAAATCGTCGCGTAGGTACAGGCGTATTTTGTGTTGCCTAACCAGCTTCCCAGTTCCAGTGCAAATGCGAATTTGCTGAATGCAGCCAACCAACGAAGGAATTTTTTATGGTTATCTACAATTTACAAGGTAAAATAATAAAATTAGTATAATTATGCGCTTTTGTGTTTAAATGTTAAAAATAGTGTTCTTATCACTATCCATTTTTGTGTTAACCTATCCATTAAAATGACAGCTTTATCTGTTGTTTTCAGAAAGTCACAATCTCTGTTATGTCATTTTCCTGTACATTTGGCCCCATTTTCACCCTTAAATAAGAGTGTAAGCATATCTGCTCCACTACTTATATAGATATTTATACTTTTTTCTTTTAGATGGGAACAGAGGTGGATAAAGCGCAACATGCAAAGTGGAGCAAGAATGAAACCACTATCTTTGATAAAATAATACAGAAGCAGATACCAGCCGAGATCATTTACGAAGATGATCATTGCCTTGCCTTTAATGATGTAAATCCACAAGCTCCCACTCACTTTTTGGTTATACCAAAAAAGCGAATTCCGTTGCTTGATGCAAGCGAAGAGTGTGATAAAGAGCTTCTGGGAACATTGATGTTAACTGCTAAGAAGTTGGCTCAGGAACGACTACCAAATGGTTATCGATTAGTTATTAATAATGGTGTTGATGGATGTCAGTCCGTTTACCATCTGCATGTTCATATTTTAGGAGGGCGACAAATGTCGTGGCCTCCTGGTTAAGAATAGAAAAGTTGATATCTAGTACATGTACCTATGTAAATTGTTGGTTTAACAATACATTAATCAGCACTAATAATAATAATCTTTCTTTTGCTATACCTCAACAACTAAAACAAAACATTGTTCGGCAACCTATTCTCATGGTTCATAGAGTCTGAGGAGTTGGTTCCTAAATAAATATAGGTATTTAAATAAACAACAAACAAAAACTGCTACATTACTATTTTTGCAATATTTAGCAGGACAAAAATTCAAACTTAAGTCAAGTTTTTAACTATTTAAACATTGCCACAAATTGAAACCTATAGTTTCATATCCTTTACAATACAACATTAAATAAACTTAATTTTTGCTTTTGACATAATCTTTTAATTCATAATAATATTAACAAATGTAGGTATACTTATCTAAATTCTGATAAAATTGAACAAGCTGCAATAAAATCATACATCTTCCTTTCTATGACACAAATTTAGCTTATTGTGTACTGTAACAATATTTCTTTATGATTACAGTTTGGGCAAATGGACAGTACAAAAATAGCTATTTGTGTATTAAGGGCGCCAAATGATATATTGTCGATTGAAAGAGACAGTTGACGGTATTTACCTTACGAATTAGGAAAACTGCAGGAAAACGTATCTACCTAATTCATAAATATAATAGTTAACTAGGTGGTTCGTTATGTATCTAGTAACTTGAATGTTACATGCAACTGCAAGTAGCAAAACGCCTAGCATTGTTATGTAACGGTGTAACGTAACGAATACGTCACGCTATGTAACATACATGTATCTATATGTTACATGAACGTAATAAGTAACACAACGGAATGTTACAACAAATCACCCAGTTATGTATCGTATATACAAACATACACATTACATTAGTAGAGTAATATGTAATGCAACTGAAGCTCGAACTGAAGGCTTAAGCAAATATGTAACATAGTTTAAATTATCTCGCGTGACATTTGTTTGTAATTGCAACACATTATTGAACAGATCTATCACTCCACTTTCCATGTCAATAGTTTTCGTCGCTCTCTCTCATTCCGAAGATTACCACATTATTCTGGCTACGTATTTGTTCGATTAATTTTTGTTGTTGGTTAACCGTTTTGTTTCAATGCACGATTCTCGTCTTCCAAAAGCTTAAACTTATCAAAATCTTCAATAAAGGCCGGTATATTGAGGGTATGTACCTATTTCCTTCCTAATAATGTGTTCCATTTCTTCTTTCAACTCCCGTTTAAAATTATCAAATATTTTACAAAGTTCGGAGGTATCAATTGTTTGTTTATAATTGATTTGATAATGCAAAATATTATATTAGGCGAGTGTAAACAGAATTATCTTAAGATGTCCTTGTATATGAATGAGTACCTACGTGTGTTAGTGTGTATGATTCTGGTTTAGCAACATTATTTTATTCCAGGTAATGTTTGGAGTAGGTAGGTAGGTACTATAATATAAATGTTTCCACGTTTTAATATCGAAAAACGTATGCTTTTTACAAATTTCAAAATGAATTTAGGTGCTTTATTTGGTTTGAAATATAGTTTTATTAGACTTTAGAACGACTTGTAAGCAATTTTATGACTCTGCAAACACCAAGAGCATTACAAACGAAATGAAATGCAGATAAATAAGTAAATTAATTTTAGTAGTTACGCAGAGAGATAAATGTAAAATACAGTAGGTACCTATCGATTATAAACCTACGAAAACAAATTGCGGAAAATACACTTGATTGCTCTCTTAATTTTCATTTCGAAATTAAAACGGACGGTATAGGTAGTAACAATATGTATTGTATTCTTCCCAATACAAAACATTCATTATTGGTGGTTTACCATGTCTTAAAGGAACTGAGATATTGAAAAAAGTAAACTAAGGTAAAATCAGAATCATAAAGTAAGGGTCAGCTTTAGAAAATAATGCGCGGGAACCCACACCTGGATACGCTAATCTGCTCTTTTGTGAAGCATCTGCACGCTTTACTTGCGTCGATGATTGTAAAGCACGATATTTATATAACGGCAATAAAGGACGTCTTTATGTATTGTCGAATATAAATAGCTATCTAGATGTAATTACTTGGGTAGTTAGGGTGCATTTAACACTCTTACAACCCTTAAGTACCTATTTTATATGTGACCCTAGTAAGTAGGTGTAATGTAGGTATATGCGTAATTATTTTTAATTACTCCTCTATGTGAACGTTATTCTATTGAAATATGAAGAGTGCTTTTCTACAAGTTACAATATTCGTCCACGAAATGATTATATCATAGCACCATCATTACATAATTTGCTGTTTTGCTTTTTTTTACAGGACCTACTAGTTACTGATATACAAAATTAAACACTTAGTTATCAAAGTGATGCGTATCGACGTTTTCACAGCGAAACTGGTTGTAACTCATGATCTTGTCATATTTTAATCCGAATTCTTTCATGACTGTAGAGAAAGCAGTCGATTTATCTTGGTGGTGGTAGAAATAAATAATTACAGTGCCATATGCATTTGGATGGTTAACACAGCCATAACATTAGCACATCTAACACGGTGAACTCATGTTCAAAAATTTGGCGTTCTCATTTCCTTTATTACGAAATCATTAGATAGTTTGAAAGTACCATGATGTTTCTCACTTTTGTATTTCTGGAACCTTACATTTGCTGTACAACAAAGATATAGGTATCTTACATGGTTGACTATGGTATATCTACGTTTAGAACCCCAATCTGTAGGTACTTAGTCTGATGAAAATTTAGTTACTGAATGGCTACATTTGTAACAGGGATTAGGTAGGTACGTTTCATAGTAGGCAAATCTCTGAAGGTTTTGCTGAAATGTTGACTGTGTGCGGTAAAGTTAAATTTTTGCCCCAAAATGTATCAACGGCTGGCTCAATTCCAATTCTCTCAGTAAAATGGACTTATTTGCATTTTACCTGAAAATTGAAAAACTGACCTCATTTTCTCCATGACTAACCTGCCTTTGTCTTACTGAAATAAAGTGTGGCTCTTTTGGAAAATTATTGATCGAAAATTAAATTTAGAGTAACCAATGTTGGAAAACCCATTATCTAAGTATCAGAACCACTCTACAAACCCCTTTAAAATTTCGAAAAAAAAAAAACCCCATTTTAATGCTCCCGTTACAGGGTGCAGTTCGATACTCTGTATTTAATTGTCTGCTTTCCGCTTAAAAGTTTATACATTTCGTTTCACATTACGAAGTAAATAAAGGAACATTTATTTAAATGCAGATATAAATTCGATAATTCACTAGAATATTGCTGTACATGTCTATCTATATAATTCAAAAATCGGAGAGTTAAGTATTTACATTCACTGATTCTAACGAAATAGAAATATAATATCTACGAGCGTGGATTTTCCTCTATAGTTACCTAATAGCAATGAATTCTAATAGTGTTAAAAACCCTCATATTATGTGAAAATCACTGACATAATATACACCATTCTGTATTTTAGCGATCAATTCCTTATTGTCGCAAGTGATGTTCACTTATTTGCGCACTTTTGACCCGCTGTGGTTTCATTTAACGTCAATATCACTAAAATCACTGTTATGACCAGCAAAATTGTGAGAATTATTTGGTATTGCTGCAGGAGAATTCAATGGCATGGTCGATTGTAGCACCGATGAATTTGGCGTGATGTGTAGGCACGGGCTATCGATACATACAGGACAAAATGTAGAAAAGGCCCCCAATAATTTTCTGCAAAGGAAAATGGAATTTGGCACATATCCTAGGTACTGTTGTTCCACTTACCTATAATGATGGTCTAATTGGGCCTTCTCTATTCTTTTGTCTTTAGCCCTGCGATTTTGAAACCAAATTTTGATTTGCGTTTCGGATAATTGTAAAGATTCGGCTAACTCGCATCTCCTTCCCCTACTTATGTATTCCGATCTTTGATACTCGATTTCCAAACGTAACGTCTGTTCACTGCTGAATGTTGTTCGTTGACGTCTTGGTCGACCTTCTTTTCTACGCCTTCGTGCCACTGCAAATAAAAATAACTTATTATTAGTATTATAGGTCTCATAATTCAAGTATGAAATCAGAACGATATAATGAACCCGTTACCAACATTACACGTCCGAAGCATCTCATAGCAGAATATTGTTGTGTAACAAAGCACCCGTTTTCCGCCTTAACGTTTACCCGTTTTAGTAATCACTCTGTTACATGAACACCCGGTATCTAGAAGTGTTTTAAGTTGGGCGCTTTGTTACGAAAAGTGTCGTGCAGAAAGTATATTTGTATTGAGTTTAGGAGTTGAAGATAGAAGCTAAAGGTAATTGATTTAGTTTCTAGAGTTGTGTTTCACCCGCCGCTACCGTAAGTAAACGCTGCAATTAATTCGTCGTTTGCCACCGTTCCCGTCCAGATATTTCAATTGCATTTGTTGCATCTGAAAGCTCTTTTCATTTAGAAGATGAGAGCGAATTAATATTTTAGAATTCTGCTCTGTTAAGTAATTATTTAGCAGGTTTTTGTTTCGTATGGTAATTTAAAACGAACACTAAAACTGCAAGGCCAAGGTTTACGCCGATATCAGTTTTGATAAGCAACCTTTATGCCGATCTGAGAAATGCCAATTAGCAATGAGTCTTTTTGGACTACGACCGACTTTAGACATTTCAATCCGGCCAATTAGGTAAATGCTAAATTAATGTGTTGGCGTAAACAGGATCCGATCAAGTCGTGAATGGTATCAAAAGAAGGTTTTAATTAATTTGAATTTTAAGAGCAATTTCAGATTTATAGGACGTCAGCAAACCGCACATTTCATTAAAGAATTTTTAATTTTTGGATGTAGATACAAAGATACCCGAATACGCTGTGCGGGCTCGGAAACCGTCGATCCCTCCATGAAATAGCCGAATTTTATAAAAGGTAAAGTTGTTGCCGAAACGTAAAATCTTTTCGCTTTTGACTTTTTTGTGAGTTACATTTGAAAGGGCCTTATTAAATTTTGATACTTTCCGTAAATTGATTCTTTTAGTATCATTCAATTTTCATTTCTTGGAACATTCACTTTACAGTCCCCGTATCCGAATTTGATTTTGATATTTCCGTAAATTGATTTCGCAGCCGTAAGACCGTTTAATTTGGTTTTGCAATTAATTACACCGCACCGTATCTATCGCGTTTGTTTTTTTTTACTAAACTTTGCAGTACCGCTACGTTTAATTGCAAGGTAAGCTTTTTGATATTTTTTGTTCCATTAATTATAAGGGACGAATTGTTTCGCTTTCTTGCATTTGATTTCCTTTTCCCGTAGCTATCGTTAATTAATTTGTGTTTTCTTGCTTTCATCTCCCTCGTCCGACTCCTGGAGTTGACGGATTGAGTTTACCCGGGGTTTCCGAGACCGTCCCACAAACCGCTGCTACCGCCGACTTTTGCCAGGAACAAGGCCGTACCGTTTGGGGCGCCTGAGTTTACCGGTCCGCCGCTATAATAGCTGCCGTAGAATTTAAGCGTACTTATTTAGTTGCGATTCTTTTTTTTTCTCTTAATTAAATTTTATTTTTATAAAACTAATGGCCCCTTTAATTTTAAAGCCTTTGGTGCGCGAACTACCCCAAGTTCGCCGCAGTTGTGTAAAGTACGTCATGCAGACGTTATTTTGTTGTTGCATAGTGAAGCCTTTCTATAAGGTTCTCTTTTCATTAAAAGTTACAACTTTGAAAGTGTTCTACCGTCCGAAAAGCCATCAAATTTAGTGTTATCATTGAATAATAAATCTGAATTAAATCAGATTTATTATTCAATGGTGTTATCAAGATAAATTGAGTTTCATGAAGCTGTCGGCGAACGTTTTTGTGTCGATTATAAGTGCACTTCAATATCGCAAATGGTTTACGACCAGATTTATTTGGATTATTTAATAACTGTAATAAGATTCCTTTATTTAATTGCCTGTTGAAGCCCCAGTGCGGGATATGTGTAAACAGGCCCTAAAAGCCTCTCTTTCTTTCAGGGTATTGTTTAATTTTGTTTTTCTTGTTTTTCGGAATAAAGTTTTGTTATTTAAACTGTGTGTGTATTCGAACCCAAAGTGCGACCCAGACAGAGTATTCATGTCAGATTTTTGTATTCGTGCCCAAGAATTATGTCGGGTGCTCATGAAAATTTGTATAGTTAATTATTTGGCATTTTCGAAAGTGAATCGAGGCTACTGAGATTTTTCATTGACACCCGTACGTCTACGACGGAAATAAATACATACAATTCTAAATTTAAAGGTTGTTTTGAGGTAGCTGGACAGGTATTTTACAGTGTACAGTGTCCTTATTTATGGAAACATTTAAATTAAATTTAATACATAGGCACTTGGAACACAAGCAAATATAACACCAGTTTTAAAATTTGGTTTTCTATATGCGCAATGCAACTTTCTTATTTATTCATATGTAGGCACTTTGAATCAAACTAAAACTAATACCGGTTTCAAAATTACCTACTGTTTACGCATGCTGTATGTCTTATTTATGAAGGTATTCCATGAAATTTCTAATGTAGACAATGCGCAATGCTTACGAAAGCATTAAAAAAAGTTTGATATGTAAATACTTCGAATAAAACTAAAACTAATGCCCATTTCAAAATTTGTTTGTATTTATATACGCTCCACTATTTTTCGACGATAGGCGGCTCATTAGAAAGAGAATGGGGTAAGGATCTCGTGCCTACCGGTATTTTTGCCTGGTCCTAGCATTAGGTAATATTATTAGGAGGAAAATACGCTCTCATCATTTATGTTTGCATAATGGCTTTTTAACTTAAACTTGTTTAGACTGCAATCGTTTTAAATATAAATATGGGCCAATTTTATATTGTCATGAGGATCTGCTCCATAGATAATATTCTAATTACATTACGTATGTAACTGGTTAGAGAACTAATCCTTAAATAGGTACCTAACAATCGTGAATTAGTTCAAGTAATCGTGAAAATTTAATATCAAGACCATCAGTGCGGAATAATCAATTAAGTGCATAATATGAATCGCAGACAGTAACCTATATTACATTGAAGAAATACAGGAAATGCAAAAATTAGGAATTATGGCTGATTCGTTATGGCAATGACAAAGAGGGGTTGCTGGATTCTGGCGTGCGAACGTCCGAATGTTGCAATCAAGCACATTACCTACCGACTACCTACCTATTAATACTCACGTATATGATGGAGTAGACAATACCGTCATGTGCTGTGATTGACGGAAACGAGAAGCCCTTCCTCGCGCCATATGTCATGTAAAGCTTTCAGATGCCTAATTTTTAATTATCCACATTAAATGAATACGTGAACAACCCTTACTTACTTCCTATACGAAATCTTAATCTGTTTACATTTCTCATATATACATAGGTATACCACCGGTTTAATATGTACTTTGAAACAATTTAGATATAAGATCATCTATCCTAAAACTAAAAATTACCCAAAAGTCTAAACTAAAAACAACAATAACAACATACACCAACCCATTCATCAAATGGATATGAAACTTTCGGTTCTTGAATTTTTAATTAGGTACCTACTATTAAAATAAGATGAAACGTCGGTATACTATATAATTAGCTCTCGGCTATAAGTTTTTGAAAATCCTGAGGTAGGAGTTGATCTGATAAATTAACCGTTATTCAATGGATTGACGTAAAAACGAGGCTGCTGCTGCGAGTTCCGCGACGGTTGAAAAGCGTGTAAATTTATTTACGTTAAATCTCGGGCAATCTGCCATAGTTGTTTTGTTGAAGATGCAGTTTGTCGGTTTCGAAAAAAGTCAAATGAAGTGGTAAAAGGTTGTGGACAGTTTTTAAAACGGTTTTACCGTTTCCCGAATTAATATAATAATAATAATTTTGTGTTCATTCGAATCCTTTATGCGATCCAGATAGAGTCTCCATGTCAGATTTTTCTACTCGTGCCCAAGATGTTAATCAAAAAGCTCTCAAATGTCAAAATGCTCGTCAAAATGTTAAGTCCATATTAAGATTTTTCTTCTAGCAGATGCCGGATGTGTATGAGGAGAGATTAAAAAGTTCTAAAAGTTTCAATTTTGATTTGTTTTGGGGTAGTTGAATGTGGGTGGCGTAGTGACCGCACGGCAATGCACACAGCAATATTTTGCGATTAGATAGACGTTTTACTTTATTATTGAATATGGATACAGGATACGTTATAATGTGCCGATTTATAACGGCTTATGTAGAGAATATTTTATATTTATTTTGTGTTTATTTAATCTGTAATAGGATTACATATTATAGAGCTTTGTGATGGATGGTGCGACGCTAACAATACCGTGGGTAATATCTATTTTTCGTTCAACAAATCCGATTCTGTATTTATATAGTAAATTTTTTTTGGAATTATGAGACGCGATCACTTTCAACATCTTTTTTGCACTTCTTTAAGGTGGTTTATTTATATACGTCGATTGAGTACCTAAAGTCGTACGATTGTACGCAGTATACCAGACAATTTCATTTTTAATTTGCTTGCTTGAAGTTATAGATTGACAAAAGCTTCCATGTAATAAAGAGGTAGTTGAATTATTGTGTTCCGTGTCAGTAATAATAAAATTTAAATAAGGGATACAGTAATTAATTATTTCTCAATGGCCTAAATTATAATTAATAGATAAAGATCCTAACATTCCAGTTTATAAAGTAATTTAAGTATGCTCTTGAAATAATCGCTAATCACGCAAGGTATGTGGGAGGGTTGTTTAAAACACATGTCTTATATCTCACCCCCACCTGAATTTGATGACGAGTATTTAGACTTGTTCAACTGTACAGATGTAATCTCATCATAATAATATTTTACATTTCATATTGTGTTGGACTTATTCCGCGGATTCTGTTGTTGGCTGAGAGCACGCAGAGAGCTCGAATAAAATCCTTTGTTATAGAATTGCAGTAAGTAGGTACCTACTTGTGAGAAAATGACGCTTTCGGTGGTTACAATAATTATCACATTGGAAACTTCTTTATTGTCTTCCATTTATTGACTATGTGACAGAATGTAAATTCATCTACAACAGTAGTTTGATATAATTGCGAGGTCTTCTTAATTTGTATTTAATGA